CGATGACACCCGCCGCTGGCTCAGCAGGCGCTAGGGACGTCTCTTGCCTGGAAGGGGCCTTCTTTGAATGACGTCCTGGAGAATTTAGTAATTTTGTTATCAACAATGCCTCCACCTGAGGGGTTATCTCTGAACTATTAAGCAGACTCCAAGGGCAGGAACTCACCACTCACAGCCCCAAGTTTGCCCCTGAAAGCCCTCAGTGTGGGGGCCCATCTCCTGTCTGAAGTCAGTGAAGCGCTTTGCTTCCTTCTAATACCCTGTTCGTCATGCTGTGCTGCTTAGGAAAGGCCAGTGCTCTGGGGTATCTGTCCTCGCGAGAAAATCCTTCCAGACCTCTCGCTGCACCTTGGGGCAGTGGCTGGTGAAGCTGGCCCAGGGAAGGGTGGCAAGTGCTCTCTGTTTGGGAACTGCAGCAGGGACCGACGTTTTGCCACACATTCCTGGGATTTACGGAGCAATTGTGGGTACCACTGCCCCAAACTCAGCGGCATCAAACAACCACCATTTTGTTGTGCTCACAAATTCTGTGAGCCAAGAGTGTGAAACAGGCACAACGGAGATGGGTTTGCTCTGCTCCACGTGTGTCTGGAGACACTGAAAGGCTAGGGGTGATCTGAAGCTCCTGCTCACATGTCTGATGCCTGGCCTGGGAAGACTCGAAGGCCATAACTACCAACTGGGGCATCCACATGCCTCCTCTCCATTGGCCTCCACGTCCTCACAGCATGGCAGCCTCAGAGAAGCTGGACTTCTTACCCGGCGGTTTAAACTCCAAGGATGTGTCACTTGCCTTCCAAAGTCACAAGGCTTCTCCTATGCAAAGGGAGAAGAACATGAGATGGGAGCCATTGTTGTGGCCATCTTTGGAAAACACAACCTGCCATAGGAGTTTCCCGCTCACCTCCAGCCTCTGGTGTCTCAGATTCCAACAGTGGTGAGTGGAAGAACTCTGCACAAATGCACATCCACTAAAGGCTCCAAGGATGCGATCATTACACCATGGAAATACTGCTTCATTCAGTGAGTGACCAACTAGTTGAGGTGCCTTGGAGTGTTAAGAATAAGAACTGTTGTCCAGTCTTGTTTCCTAGCATTCAGTGCTTACAGAGGGGAAGACTTTGCAACGACTACTTGTTGCGGTGGCACCAAACTCTATGTCAGGATAAAGCCATCCCAGGATTCGCGGCAAATTGCTAATTTTGTGACTCTCCAACAAAAAGGCAAAGGGCCTTCAGGACATCGTTTTGAATACCTCCAGGGTGATGGCAAATGCCTGAATCTCCTGGCCTGCTTGTGTCTGGTGATCAGGAGAGGACAATCCATAGGGGTCCATGGACCTGGAGCTAGAGCATAGAGCATCTCCCCTGAATCATGGAGTTGCCAAAACTAGAAAGGGAAGTTGAGCCAGAGAAGAGACCAAGTCCAGACAACCACATGGGGGTTCCAGAGAAGAGAGGGAACTATGAGCCAGGCATGGAGATAAAGAGGAATGATCTAGAACTGTGCTATCCAATATGGCAGCCATTAGCCACATGTGGCTATTTAAACTTAAATTAGTTAAAATAAAATAAAAAATTCAGTTCCTCGGTCACTCTAGTCACATTTCAAGAGCTAAATAGCTACATATGGCTAGAGACTACTGTATTGGGCAACACAGATTACAGAACACTCATGTCACCAAAAAAGTTCTACTGGACAACACTGAATCTAGAACAAGTACCTGTAGCAGGCGGCCTGCTTCATGAACCAGCCTTAGCGTGACAGGGAAGATGGGGAGATGGTCAGCTAAATGTTGAAGGCCAAGAGTAGATTTCATTTTCCAAAACAACCCAGAGTCATGTGAAGTCAAGTCATGCAATGGAGCTGGTGTACTCACGCTAACACGTTTTTATTGAATTAACGAGTGAGTGAGCTGGGCAGTAGTGTTTGGTGGGGGCAGAGGGTGGGGAAGAAGACAGAAGTCATCTATCAAACAGAAGAGCTAAGTTTTCTTGTGTTAGCAGCTCATTAACTAAATGAAAGAAATTCTAAAGCAGGAGTTTCAGAGATGTTTTGAGTAGTGTCAGAAACACTGGAATAAGTTTAAAGCCTTTCAAGGTAACTGTTCTGAAATGGCCCACATTCAACTAGCTCATTGTGTGACCGTGAGTGAGACCCCAGCCACTCCCAGCTTCAGTTTCCTCCACTGTAACATGAAGGATCAGGACCAAAGCCTGTCCCGGGCCTTTTTGTGTGTCTACCATTTGGATATTTAAACTCTATGTCATACCGCAGAGGTGCCATGAAAACTGAAAATAATTAGGGAGAGCAAACAGGCTTCATGTCACGGGCCACGTTCCATCAACTGGCAGCACTTGCTTGACAGACTCTGCTGAGAAGTCTCAGGGACACATCCAAGCTTGGTTGACTAACACTGTCTGCCGTGGGGATGCAGCATGAAACATAAGCCCACACCTGCCACCCCAGGTTTATGTGGGTGGGCCCAGGGCCCATTCTAAGCGCTTTCTCCCTTGCCTAGGTCTGCGGGAAATACTGGAAGACCTAAACATTTGCTCTCCTAGCCTTCTTTGCAGCTAGGGGTGCCTGTAACACAGGATGTGTGCTTGCAGCTATGGCAGCCACTTTGTGACCAGGAAACAGCTTAACAGAATCACGCGATGCTGCCTGTGACTTCCGGAGTTGCTAAACTACTGCCAGCAGCTGCCCATCTCCAGATATCTCATTACGTGAGAAAAATACCTCCCGCCCTCCTCCCCCCATTCATTTCAGCCCTCAAAGCTTGGGGTTTTTGTTACTTCCAGGTGAACGTTTTCCTAATATATCCCAGATCACACATCCACTTCTCCAGGGGCAAATATAAATTATCTTTCATAAATTTTCGGTACAGTCGGCCCTTGGAGTCTGCGGGGATAGGACTGGTTCCAGCGCTCCCATGGATATCAAACCCGCGGACGCCCAAGTCCCGCGTATAAAGGAGTGTAGTATTTGCACAGGGCCCAGCGCTCCTCCTGCTTCCTCTAACTCATCCCCGGATTACTTATAAACGCCGGATACGATGCAAACAGTTGTTACACTGTATTGTTTAGGGAAGAAAAAGAAAGAAAAAGTCCCTACATTGTTAGCTCAGACACACCCCGGCAGGCTTTCCTCCCGGGCTGGTTGAATGGAACCGCGGACACGGAGGCCGCGGACAGAGGCTGGCTGTACTCTCCTCTCGCTCGACTTCCTACCGGCGAGCAGAGGTCGTGGGGCTTCCTCCCTTCTGTGGGTTTTGAAGTTCTGATACTCTGCTCACTGAAGCTCCAGACACATATTCCTTCCTCCACAGGGCTCTGTGAATATTAACAGCCCGGGCTCTGGAAAGAAGTTCCAGTCCAGCACCGTCACTCACTGTGTGCCCAAGCAAGTCACGTGGCCACTCTGGACCTCGGTCGTACGTCTGAAAAATGGAAGGACGGGGTAGGAACCCTGCAAGGCCTCTTTCAGCTCTGAGTCCTATGGATGCTGAGGAGATGGAGGCAAACGGGTTTTTTCCTTCTGTTTCAAGCTGATCCCTGAGTATCTGGCATATTTTGACATCAATAAACGCCCATAAATATACGTTGTTGGAACCCACCCTTGTTGGTGAAGTATAGCTTTCTTCATGCTGAGGCAATGGCTTTTTAGCAAGGAATAACCAAGGAGTCTTGGGACGAGCAACCCTCGGATCAGACAGAGGGCTCGGTCTCAGAACGGCTCTCCTGTCGGAGCTGTTCGCTGGTGCGTTCCCCCGCCTGCTGGCCTTGGGTGTGTAAACCCGGATTTGGGAAGCTCCCCCACGTTTGGATTTCCGCCTGCGGGATTAGTCCTGCACCCCTCCGCCCCCGTGTCCCTCCCCGTGTCTTTTCCCGCCTGATAAGCCCTGCCCCTCGCTTAGTGCTCGGGCTTCCTCAGGCGGGAGTCCGCAGCCCGAGCGACAGACGGAGGCGCGGCGCCGCCGGGACCCACGCCCGGCCCTGTATCTGCGGGCGCTCCCGCAGCCTCCCCAGCTCCGCCGACGGCCCAGCGCGGCGCGCGCCCACGGCGTCCCCGGCCCGGGCCTGCGAGCGGCCAGCACCCAGTCTGCTCTGTGAGCAACTGCCTCGGGACTTTGAAGTTCAAGTTCTGGGAGGTACACAACGGATCCCAGCAAGATGATAACATTTCTACAGCATCCTCCTCAGGCTCCAGGGGCCAAGCCCTCGGGGAGCCTGGCGTCCCCTCTGGGGGCGGGGCGTGGAGTGCTTATCTCCTGACTGTTAAACACCCGTCAGCTGTCCCCAAGCATGTTTCAATTTGCCCATTTGCTACTAGGCGAGGAGGACAACTGAGCTTAGGAAATCGTAGAACAGCCATAAGGCATAGCTCAGTTTCCCCTGTGGACACAGCTCGTTTATCTGACCCTAAGTCTACATGGCAGTCAAAGCGCAGCAGACTGAGCGAGAGATGCCGCGTCCTCCCGGGAAGGCACAGGAGGCGTCGCCTGGGAAGTGGGCGTGTCTGCCCTGCTCTGGTCTCGGGCTTCGCCTCCCGCTCGCTGCCCCGCGTTCACGCCCCGCTCGCTGCCCCGCGTTCACGCCCCGCTCGCTGCCCCGCGTTCACGCCCCCCATGCTGCCCCGCCTTCAGACCCCGCTCGTTGCCCCGCGTTCACGCCCCGCCCGCTGCCCCGCGTTCAGACCCCGCTCGCTGCCCCGCGTTCACGCCCCCCATGCTGCCCCGCGTTCAGACCCCCCATGCTGCCCCGCTTTCACGCCCCGCCCGCTGCCCCGCCTTCAGACCCCGGCACCGGCGGTCCCCTGAGCCGCAGACGCGCTGCAGCAAGCTCTTGCACGCCTTTACGCTTTCATCTCTGGTGACATACTTTCATAACGTTGTCCGTTTTTTCAGTGCAAACGCTTCCCCGGAGCAGCCCTGCTCACTATAATCCATTATCCAGGATAAAAGCCATGTACACTAACATATAATTATAAACACATACATATATATGTAAATGTTCAATAAGAGGCCGGTAAGCGTTTAACATTTCAAAATACAAAGTGAAGTCTCACATTAACTCAAATACAAGGTAATTAGCTTTCCTTTAGCTTAGGTTAGCTAAATCAGTCTCTAAGACAAAAAACAAAACCGGAAGTCCATTCACACTTGACCGGGTCTCGGTCAGCTGTCCTTTACCCGCTCCCGGCGGTGTTCTCACGACGTCTGCAGGAAGGGGCGGAAGTTACTCAGTGACACCGTGCGTGATCGTTAGAATAACGCGCGTGGACTCTTCAAAGGACTGCTAAGTCTTGCTAAATATATCTCATGGAAACTCAAGATTTAGTTGCTGTCAGACCTTGAGGTTCAATTCTAAAAAGGCACATATTCAAAGACAAGGGGAGTTTCTTTCTGGCTTAGAAACCTCCTGTCTCAGGCTCTGAAACCATTTTAGCAGCGAGATGACTCTGCAAGTTGGAACCAAATAAAAGGGAGGTGACTCATTCCGCTGTGAGTAAGTATTTCCTTTTAAGCTATGAAGAAAGACAATTTCAGCACTTACATAAAATTGTGATACTTTTCCTTCCCAGATTAGGTGATTTTTTTTCTGCCAAGTTAGACAATGTCCAAAAGCAAACTAAATAGCTTAACTCCATTAAATCTTGAAAAATACTGCAACAAAATCACATCGATGGGATATTGTCAGAGTCCCCAGATTCTGGGCTTAGGGATGCGATTTAATGTCTTTATTAATGTGTGTGTATAAGAATCATAATGATGATAATTTATTATGTTCTCTAATATTATGTTTTTGTCATACAATAAGTGGTTAATGTTTAAAATAATAAATGTCTTCACACCTTGCTGCAAAACATGGTGAGAATCCACCTTAGTCCAGAGCAACACATTGAAGGACAGCCAGAGTTGCTCTTCCCAATGCGCCATGCATATTAAAACCATACATCTTCAATCACTGAAATGTGTAAAGCCAATTACTGCATTTGTAAGCCTGGAAAAATTAGGAACAGTGACCTCATGTAATAACAAGAATGAAAAAGCATTTATGAACAGGTTTTCCAGACCAGAATTTTAAGCAGTCACGTTCCTCAGGCAGCATTAATGCTGTGGCCATGGATTTTCCAGAGAACATTTCACTTCACCGTCATTGATAACTTAGTTCAGCCTCTTTCTATTATTTGTACTTAAATATATAAAGAAATCTTTTCCCATTCTTCTTTCTTTGGATTTTCTCTTCAACACCCACACAAATCCATGAGTCATAAATGAGCCTATGAGGATGAATGGTCCCCATCACACAGGAACACTCTTTAGCTATGCATGTGAATTTAGATATTACAGTTGTCAAGTAAGTTCAAACTGCAAATGAAACAATGTCTATGTGAATTATCTTCACCAAAAACAAATTATGAAATTGGCCATTGTCTTTATGTTCTAATATAACGAAACAGATTTTATATACAAACACAGCCTTTTCTGAATTCTCACATACCTGCTGTGAAATATGTTTACCTCTGTGAGGCGGGATTTGGGAACCCAGCTTCTTGTCTCAGCTCTCTGCTTCCTGATTGGATGATTTAACTATGACCCTCCATGAGGCAGACGTCATGTGTGTCTGCCTGCCCCACAGAGTTGCTAAGAGGGTGGAATGTGATAAATCTTGTAGTTGTGTTTTGTGTACTGTAATGTGCCATCATAATTTTAGGATGTGTTTGTTACTGTTTCTTCAGCTAAATTAATTGTATAGCAGAAGAATGATGAGGCAGTGCAATGAACTGACAGTCAGACTATGAATTTGTCTGCTGCTGCAAACGTATTTAATGCTAAACGTAGTCCCCAAGGATTTGATAATGAATATGATCCTGTGATACCAAAAGGCATAATTGATCACCGTATGTCAAGTCCAATTCAAGCTGTGTGATACTGCGGTGAGTAAGTAGCAAATGTCCACTACGGAGAGAGCCATTGCTCTTGCAGCTGAACTCTATTTACTACACCCAAGGGTGAGCTGCCCCTGCAAACTCCATCTCAATGATTCTGCATCTTACAAAATCTTACAGATGTTACGCCATTGATCTTCATAATAATATCTCTGTTTTAGAGGTGGGGAAATTGAAGTCTTCAAATAACTTTCTTATTAAACTATGTATTAAAATTTGGTCATTATTATTTTATTTGGACAAAAGTTGTTAGAGTATTTGAATTGTATTTTTGTGTCTGTGTGAGGAAGATTAGCCCTGAGCTAACATCTGTTGCCGATCTTCCTCTACTTTTTTGTGTGTGGGATGCTGCCACAGCGTGGCTTGATGAGTGGTGTGCAGGTTCGTGCCCAGGATCCAAAGTAGAGTGCACGAATCCAACCATAATGACACTGGGCTGGCCACAAATTGTTTTCTTTTTCTAACTTATTAACTGAAATATGGTTTACCAAACATAGGGGTAAAGGTGTAAAACATAAAAAATTTTTGCAAAGGATAATAACGTATGTGGTAAACATTTCAACAATATTAAAGAATATGTACCAGAAAGCTAGCGACCCTGCCAGGGCAAACCCCCAGATACCCAGTTCCCTTCCCGACAAGAATGCACTTGTACCAATCTGGCGTGTCTACACTCAGATGCTTAAGTGTGTGCAGCATTTATGCGTATATTCTTTTAGAAACAGAATACAAAGGGCAGCGTAAGAAGCATGCTGGTTCACATCTATTTTTACTTAACAACATACCTTGGAGGTAGTTCCACACCAGTTCCTATAGATTTTGCTCCATATTTTTAATAACATAGTAATTCATTCCCTGTTCGGATGTATAATAATTTATTTAACCAGTTCCCTATTTATGAACAATATTTTGCTGCTACCAACAAGACTGAAATCCTTGTATATACATCCACCTGCATAACATTTTAAAAGGAAAGAATGAATTGATACTCACAGCTTTCATGAACTATAAATACATTATAAGTAAAATAGAAAGAAAAGATTATCCATAAATATTTTTAAGATTGGAAAAAGCCTCTAAATTGCTTTCTAGCCAAATAAGAAACCAAGAGTGAATGCTATAGTTTGGATAAATTTGACTCTATGCTGGTTAACACTTGGCTATCCCAGCTGACCACGCAAAAGTAAATGATTCGGGGCTGGCCCCGTGGACGAGTGGTTGAGTTCGTGCGCTCTGCTGCAGACGGCCCAGTGTTTCGTCAGTTCGAATCCTGGGCGCGGACATGGCACTGCTCATCAAACCACGCTGAGGCAGCGTCCCACATGCCACAACTAGAAGGACCCACAACAAAGAATCTACAACTATGTACTGGGGGGCTTTGGGGAGAAAAAGGAAAAAAATAAAATCTTAAAAAAAAGAAGTAAATGATGCTGCAGTCAACTTCAAATGAAACGCTCGTGTTTAGACAGTAGTAAAGTTCCCATAAAAAGTAAACAAGCCAAAGTCATTTCAGCAAGCAGAGGGGAAGTCTGTAAGAAGATGACAGTCAGCTTTGCTAAATGAAAAGAATTGGGGGATTTTGCTGTTTGTGCTTGCTTTTGGGGCTCTTCCGTGGCAAGTCTTGGGACATCATATAATTTTACAAAGATGATGTCAGGCGTGTCATTTTCTCTGAAGTGGCTCAAACACTGGCAGGAATGTGGAGTTAAATCTGGCAACCTGAGATTTGCAGGAGACTCTTGCATTGTTTTAAAACAACTTTGCTGAGATATAATTTGTATACCACAAAATCCACCCATTTTAAGTGTTCTTTTAATGCCCTTTAGTAAATTTAGTGAGCTGTGTGCTCATCACCACAAGTCAGTTTTAGGCCATTCTCAGCATCTCAGTGAGACCTCTTGTGCCTGCTTCAAGTTCATTCCCACCCTACCCCAGCCCCAGGCAGCCAGGAGCCTGCTTCCTGTCTCTAGAGATTTTTCTGTTCTAGACATTTAATATAGATGGAATCATACCCGTTGTCTTTTGTGACTGGCTTCTTTCACTGAACATAATGTTTTTGAGGTTCTGTCACGTTGTAGCATTATCAGTATTTTGGTTCCTTTTTATTGTTGAACGGTATTCTATTGTATAAATGGACATACGCATTTTGTTGATCCGTGGTTCTTGCACTGTGAAGGGAAGACTAATAGAGTTTGCCTATGGAGGAATCTGGTCTTCATTCACAAAGATAGCATATCTCAGCATCTCTGTTTTCAGGCTGTCCCATTTGCTAGTGGAAAGAAAGAGTTCAGAAAACCTGGGTTGGGGAAGTAGAGTCAGAATAATTTTTATTCTTGTTTTCAAACTGCCTGTCCATTCATTGAAGTCTCAGCTGGGAATGTTGGCAAGGGCCTTCCTCTATAAAGGGCCCACTGAAGACTGAGAAGAAAATATATTTTTCTAGTTTTTAAAAACTGAAGTTTTGTATCTATAATAAGGCATCAAAATTATTGGAACAATGTTGTCTTAAAATATGATAGCCAACTATTTTACCAACTCTTTGGATCACCTCTTTCTCTACCTTACTTTATTAATCTATTTATTCCCTCTTCCTCCTTTGGCTGAACAAGAGTAATGGACTCAGCTCGGAGTGAGAGCAAAAAGGAAGCAAGGGAGGTTAATTAGAAAAAGCAGAGAGGTGAGGTTTGTGCTGTGGATAGAATGAGAATTGAAATGAGGTGTGGGCTGGGCTTCTCCATTTTGTGGGCTGGCACTGAGGTTGGAGTTGAGAAAGGTGGATCTTATGCTTGATCTTGTCACTCAATCACCTTGAGGAATTTGCATAATGATTTCGCATCTTAATTTTTGCCTTTGTGAAACAAACATTGGCCATCCCAGAGGCCATGGTGGCTTCCTGGCTTCCAGGGGAGGAGGACACAGTCCTGCAAATGAGATTGGCAGGGGAGGGGCCGCCTTCCCAGTGTTCCCATTCTCCTCACATGTCAGGTCCATGGCAACAGAATGGAGAAGGGACAATGCCAAGTGCCAATAAGACTGAGACCCTCCAGGGCATTGTCACAACATTCAAATTTACTCTGAACCACTCTCCAAGATCCAGGGGAAGCCAGGCTGACTGATGTCGCCCTCATCTATGGCTTCATGCGTGGCCTCAGTTTCCGTTGCATTTTCTACGTGGTTCACCTACTGTCAGTCTTTCTTCTTTGGTAGATACACTGTTTATTTAGCTTTTCAGGAAGAGATATATTTTGCCTAAAAATAAATTGTACTCATTATTATTCTGGCTGATTCCAGGATGACCCTCTTTGCTAGTGGACACAAGACATTCTGGGTTCTGGTCCTGCTGGATCTTACCAGCAGCTTCCTCTTCTGAAAAATATGTTTCCCAGAGCTTTCGGAAGGAGCAGACGCGAAATGTGGTGTAAGTGGTTGTGAGAGACTCTGAAATTTGTGGATCACTGTGAAAACCTCAGCTATTCTAGTGATTATTTATCTTGTCTCTGTTACTTTTATGGCCGGGAAGGTTCTGAGGCCTGATGCGAACAAAGTGAAGTTCTCGAAAGCTGAGTTGACTTACCGCCTCTTCCTTTCCACAGCCAAACCAGTGTGATTTCACAGTGATGCTAATTCCTTTCATCGGCGTAACGGCCAAGTTTCCTACCATGGACAGGGTCAGGGGATGCATGTTTGTGTGGATTTCCTGGGAACGAGGCAGCCGCTCACAGACGCGGGATGAGAGCCTGCATGAGGCTGCTTGTTTCTGACTGGCCTCGCCTCTTCTGCCTACTTAAACAATATATTGTTTTCTTCTGATATGAGAAGTGAATAAGTGCTTGTAAATAATTCAAACAATCCAGAAATGTATAATTTAGTAATTCAAAAGTCATCTGTTATTTCTTCCTCATAACTACTGTTAAGGGTTTGTGGATTATTTCTCTAATGTTTTTTTTATGCACATACTAAATATGCATTAGTTTTCAAGGGTAGGACCAATTTAGACACACAGTTTTGCATCTTGCTTTTTCGTTTTACGTATGAGAGTTTTTTCTTATCTTGTTGAAAGCTGTCCTGTAGTGCATGGATGTGCCACACTTTAATTAGACCCGTACGGAAAGATATTTGGGTGGTTTCTAATATTTCAATATTATAAAAAGTGCTGAAGTAAATATTTTTGTTCATATTTCTTTGTAGGCTTGTGGAAGTGTTTTGGTTGGATACGTTCCTGGCATTTCTGTATACTCTTGAATAATGGCAAATTTTTAACCATAAATAAAACAAAGTAGGTTGAATTTTATTATTACAGTAACAACTGGGGAGTGAAGGAAATTTGGTCAAACTGAAGCATGTCAATAAAATGTGTAGGTGATTTTTCACGCTTCTTGCTGGCTTCCACAGTTATGGAGAACATAACAATTCCTAACTCTACTGGCTTAAGTTTTGGATTCCTTGTTAATAAGGGAAATGGATCTAAGACAAAAGGTGGATCTGGTATGGGGCCAGCCCAGTCGTGTAGTGGTTAGGTTCATGTGCTCTGCTTCAGTGGCCCGGGGTTTGACCTACCACTGCTCATCAAGCCACGCTGGAGGCATCCCACATAAAATACAGGAAGATTGGCATAGATGTTAGCCCAGTGACAATATTCCTCAAGCAAAAAGAGGAAAATTGGCAAGAGATGTTAGCTCAGGGCCAATCTTCTTCACCAAAAAAAAAAAAAAAGGGAGATGGATCTGGTCTTAGACCTGATGTGATTTTATTCACTATTAGGGAGTCAGTGTGGCACAGAAGATGAGAAGCAAGGCTCTGTGGCCAGCCTGCCTCATCTCACATCCCAGCTCTGCTGCTTGTTTACCTTAGGATTCTCATTTATGAAGAGGCAATGATAATTCCTACTTCGTAAGATGAAGTAGGCATTCAGTGAGTTAATACCTTCTAAGACTTCAAACAGTGCTGATCACATCAGAAGTATATGTGGTCTTGTCTATGATTAGTAC